AGGCAAAAAAATCTTGAAATTGAAGGAGAGAGCATCTGAGAGGTTTTTTCGATAGATCTTTTCAATTTTTTCATGGGTTTTACTTCAAGACCAAAAGTTATTATTTTCATTATTGAAGTAAAAAAATTTAAACTAAAACTAGTCAAGGCAATTTCTATCGATAAGTGAAGAAGCAAATGATAAATTTGATTTTCCCGACAATTCATACAAAATTTTCAACAAACTAGAAACAACAAAACAGTGACTTCGATTCCCATCAATTATATTTCACTAGTGGCGCAAATACAAGGAACTTTGTTGTTCAACGCTAATCAGATCTTCCTTTGATATTCTTTCATCAATCTAGTTATGTTGTACTAGTGCCGAAACCGGCAGATTTATTCCAAACTTTCTCATTCGATCAACATTTTGAAATACTTTTATATATTACGGCGTCGATTGGTTAGCATTGCATCTGAGAAAATTCACACATGAAAGCAATACCGTAGAAAAAAAAACTAATAGGCTGAATTAAAAAGATCGAAAAATTGTAATGAACTAGGAACAAAATCAGGAAAAACCTGACGGATTGAAAGTGAATCTGAAAAAAGCTGTAATGAAATTCCCTATGTTTTACTCCTCTGGTTAAAGTAGATAGAGAAATAAATTGAGTACAAATATAAAATATGTTGCATGAACTAACCGATATTTTGGTGATAAATCATTTTGTTGATGACGACACAAGTGACGTATGATGATAAGAATAAAGAAAGTAATTGGAATGAAACCAAAAACAATAGTCAATACGAGAAGGATTATTCCTACAAGACGAATATACGATCGAATTTTATCTTCCAAATTTTTATCCATTAACATATTATTTTCCCATGGTGTTATTTCAATAAGAAAATCATTACGAATTGTATCGATTAATTTGTTCATTTGTTGATGAACAAGATTTAATGCTTTGATAATTGTGTCATCGATTTCTTTATCATTTCCATCTGCATAATCACATAATTTTTGCAATGGTGCCTTTAAAGAATTGATCATATTATTACTTTCATTTTTAATAAATGCAAAAGCGTCATATGTTTCTGATGATAAACTTGTGTTTTGATTGATAAGTTGATCCAATTCTTTGATATGTGTGATACTATCACTTATTGATTGACGAATTTCGTCAAGAAAATATGTTTCTCGAAGTATTTGATCGAATCCTTTGACAAACACTGAATAAGATGCTTTGATCACAATCGAATCAGCTAGAAAAAAAGAAAATTTTTGTTTATAACAATTCGATATTTTTTAAAATTTTCTTGTATATCAATTGACATAATAATTAAAGAGAAAATTGATTTTATGCTTTTTTTGGTCTATTAAGAAAATCAAAATTACCTTGTGTCGAATACTGATCGAGTTTTTTGAATTGTTGAAGTAGATGTTCTAAATAAAATAAAATTTCTTTTGGATAAATTTCTTGATTGACTTCTTTAATTGAATCATCGAGAAATAGTCTTATTCTGTTAAGTTGATAGGGAGTATAAATCATTAGACCAATAACAATTAAACCAATTAACAATAGTAATATAACAGAGCAGCATTGTGTCGAACATTTTCGATTTTTCGCTCCTTTACGTCTCTTGAAGTAAAAGAAAAATTAAAAAGATATTGTCAACAATTAATGTTCGAGACAATATTAAATATTTACTTCAGTGAATTTTCCCTTGCAACAATTTCTACATGAAATAATGTAAAATATCACTGAAAATAAAATAAACAGAGCCAAGGTCAAACTTGTATAGATAATAGTCGATGTTATTGGCTTTAACTTGACAATTGTCGAAACATCCCACGATTTGATTTCGTCTGATGTGATTTGTTTTAAAAATGATCGAACATCAACTATAGAAAAAGTTGAGCGAGCTAATGATGATGAAATTAATTGAGAAATCGCTTTTCCATTTGGATTGTAATATGAATGGCTAAGATTATTTGTGACATTATTGATTATTGGTATTGTTGGTAATGAAGAAGATATATTGAAACATGTCAATTCCAAAACCATTTAGAAATATTAATTGAATTTATAGTAAAATAACAATATAGATATTGAAAATTATTTGTTGAATAAAACAAAATAATCAATCGGAAAAAGAAACATTGCCACATCAATTATGAATATTTATATAGAACAGGAATTCGATATGAATAATCATTGATTTATAGTGATGTTTTTTTTCTCTTCAATGACATTTTTCCGAACACGTATGCTCTAAGTTTTTAATAGACAAGATTTTCTCCAGCAGAAAAAAGTTTAGCACATTATTTAGTATTTAATTAATTTTTTTCATTATTTCTTACATCAAAATATTTATTAATAATTAGTGGTTAATCAATGAAATTTTGATTTATTTTCAACTTCTGTGTAAGATGCAGGCAATGCAAAGGACGGGGGACGTTTTCCTGAGATTTTGGCCCACTGTGAAAATAAAGGTTGTTCCGAGTGAAACTTTC